TTTTTCATCAATAAAAGGGATTGTTTTTCCCACAGTCAAGTGTGGTGCATTGTTATCTTATGGGCTCGTTACCTGCTCTGGGTTGCAACAGCTGCCCTCTCCCCAAGTGTTCTGGACTTCAACACCCAGAATTCCTGAGTACTGGAACAACTGGCTAGGGTTTCAGGGGGTTGGAGGCCCAACAGATTCTGTGATCTGTTCTATGTGGTTATGTAATTTTAATTAATATCACTGCTTAATTGTTATGTAATGGATTTTATATTGCTGTTTTATATTATTGTTTTTATACTGTTGGCATTGAATAGTTGCCTGTGTTAACCGCCCTGAGTCCCCCCTCGGGGGTGAGAAGGGCGGGGTAGAAATGGTTTAAATAAATAAATAAATAAACACCTGGAGTGGCACATGTTGCACAGGCCTGTTCTAAGGCATTGAGCCATGGCAGTTAAAGTGGTGTCAAATTGTTGACTAATATTCCCAAGACCTTTTTTCATTGCCATCATTTGTTTTTCTTTAGATCTGTTTAATTCAGTGGTTCTCAAGGTATGGGTCCCCAGTTGTTTTGGCCTACAACTCACAGAAAACCCAGCTAGTTTTACCAGCTGTTAGGATTTCTGGGAGTTGAAGGCCAAAACATCTGGGAACCCACAGGTTGAGAATCACTGGTTTAACTGGAAATGCCAACAAATGAACCTACGATCTTCTCCATGCAAATGATATGCCCCTCCGCTGGCCTACAGCCTCTCCCATTGTCTCATTAGTTACCTTTATTCTTCATCTTCCTTCTGTCCAATTGTAATGGCATAGTTGCAGTGGATAATCTGAAGCAATTCAGAAGCAAATCAGCATTTCTAAGCATCTGTCCTTTCTTTATTAGAAACCCATAACTTGGTTATTGATGGCAGCCAGAAAGGAGAAAAGAGGAAGCTAGACTTGTGGATAGTGAACACTAACAGTATGGCTGGCTTTTCTTCAAAGAATAACAATTATAGATGGCAATATATAGATACAATTGTCCAGTTTCTACATCTAGTGTAGGAGCACTAACCAATACATTGACTTCTGATTATTAGAAATAAGACTTTTAATTTCTGTACAACAGCAACCTGAGGCCACATTCCACATTTTCTCTTTCTCACACAAATAATTCTATCTTGTTAATTGGAATTTGGTAGAACAGCAAAGTAGTTGTTTTTGAGCTGGGAGCCCCTCACTGGCCCAATATATTTCCAGTCCTTTCAGGACATTACATGCTGCAGTACTTCATGGTGGTCTTGTGCGTGATGCAGCCGTCATAAGAACTCCCAAGCCGCCAGACATAATCAGGCTGTTTATAGGTGTTAATAATTATGATTCCTCCCACCCTCTCTGTTTTATTAGCGAGATCCAGGTGCAAGCAGCCCAGCATCATCATACAAAATGGAAAGCTTGGCCACATTGCTTTCCTTGGGCTTCGCATTGCCAGGGGGCATGCATGTGGGATGATTACGGCTTTCCTAAAACCACCTATTTGATTATATGCATTATTCATTCTATTTGATTTTCATTTTTTCGTGCCCTAAAGTATGGACTACGGGAAGCAAGATCACAATCTGCCTTTTCTGTTTATAATGAAGGATGCAAAAGTGGCTTGTGGGGTTTTGTGGGTCTGTTTTTGTAGTTCTGTATCCATAGATTCTGTATTGAGCTATCCACAGCTTAAAAATACTTACTTAAAATCAAAAAAGCAAACTTTGATTTTTGCTATTTTATATGAGGAACACCAGGGCTTTTTTTTTTTTTACAACACCATTCATGAGTACTAAAGTTCAGCCAATGTGCCACTACTGACATTTTAAAAGTTCAAAATTCCCATTTGGGAAGAAAGGCTAGTAAAGTTGGTTCTATAAAACATGTGCATTCTGCTTGTCTTTTGTTAAATTGCTGTCTGCCATATGTGCATGGTGAATAAGCTCACTTAATTCACTTTGTTGCCTGTTTACCTTTGCATTCTGAATGTTAATATACTAGTAAATAGATTTTATTGCCCATCAAAATTGTGGTTACTCACTTCATTCATGGAGGCATGCCTAACTTGTGTCCCAGGGTATATATTTTTTCCATGTCAGGAGTTACTTGAGAACCTGCAAGTTGCTTCTGGAGTGAGAGAATTGGTCGTCTGCAAGGACATTGCCTAGGGGAAGCCCGGATGTTTTTTTGATGTTTTACCATTCTTGTGGGAGGCTTTTCTCATGTCCCAGCATGGGGAGCTAGAGCTGACAGCAGGAGATAATTCGCGCACTCCCCAGATTCAAACCTCTGATCTGTTGGTCTTCAGTCTTGCTGGTACAAGGGTTAAATCTATTGCGTCACCAGAGGCTCCTCCCAGGATAATGGAATATTGGAACTGGTTACTTTGTGGGAATGTTTTAGATTAAAGAAAGCTGAGTCTGACAGAGGTTCCGTTAAAGCAACCAAATAACTACCCAAAGAGCCCTGGTTGCTTGGACATGCTAGAGGCCGCTGGGACTGACACTGCTCTCTATAGCTTTCTGTCTTTCTTCTTACTGTCTTCTTTTTTAAAATTATAGGCTGGTCAAGCAGACATGCTTCTTTTTTATATTCTATAATGGTGCCGATTGCCAAGGAAACATATTTACCACAAGGGCAGGAAAAGCAAACTCAAATTTATTATTGTAGCTGCATAATGGAGTTCTAATTTAAATACATTTTAAATGTGACTCTACACTTACTGACATTGTTCTTTTAAAAAAAGTCAGAATTAATAATTTTTTGTGCTAACATGGCAGAAATTGACAGAGTTTGGAAAGTAACTTCTCAAAAGTTATTCTGTATGCAGCTCACTATGGATTTGTAATCATTAGTCTTGTGAAAAAATGTATAGTGGTTTATTATGCAACTTCACTTTTGTTTTTGGTACTTTTCCTGAAAAAAAATCTGATTGGCCTAAGAGGTGTGTGTGTGTGTGTGTATATAAGTAGCATTTTACAGGCAAATCCTCTAAATGTCCTCAAATAATTTTAGCTCCTTAGAAGTCATCAGGAAAAGTGATAACAAATCTTTAGTGGTTGTGTAGACACAGGAATGACTGGGATTTCAGAGCTATTCTCATTTTCTGATCTGGCCCACCAAAACTCACCTTAAAAGCCAGGCAGTCATATCAAACATAGCAGTTTTGCAGTGCTGGTGAGGGGCCCTGGAACAATGAAATGTCCTGCCCCCTCCAGCCAATGAACTGGGGTGTGATCAATAGAACCAGGGACCCCTGCAAGGTCTCTTGCAACTCCTTGTTGCAGTTCAGCTCACTCATAGGAGTGGGCTGGATGAATAATCCTCCAGTGCCACAGAACACCTTTGCTTGGTACAGCAGCCTCTCTTTTAAGGTGGATTTTAGGAGCATTTGCAGTTGTGATGGTGCCATTGTCGTATATGTAAATAAGAAATAGTTATGAGATCATAAGCCTAAGGACTTCATCACATGCTTTGTTAAATAAAGTTTTTATGTCCCTATCCCCACCAACAGTAATCTTAAAAATAACAATTTCAGCATGTTACTTCCAAGCTCTTGTAATATAGAAGCATCTGTGAAGCATGGAGCTGGGTGTAGGTAGAATACTTACTGTGTGCATCACAATTAAAATTGTACCTATGGCCATTTAAATTGTGCTTCCTACAAGATAATTAAATCCTGGGTCTAAAATGGGGATCAATAACTTCCCGGGGCTGGGACAAACAAAACTTAGGCCCCTTCCACACAGCTGAATAAAATCCCACATTTTCTGCTTTGAACTGAAATATATGGCAGTGTGAAATCAGATAACCCAGTTCAAAGCAGATATTGTGGGATTTTCTGCCTTGATATTCTGGGTTATATGGCTGTGTGGAAGGTCCCCTACATTCAATGTATTGTCGAAGACTTTCATGGCTGGAATCACTGGGTTGTTGTAAGTTTTTTTGGGCTGTATGCCATGTTCCAGAAGCATTCTCTCCTGATGTTTCACCTGCATCTATGGCCGGCATCCTGAGAGGTTGTCAGGAGAGAATGCTTCTGGAACATGGCCATACAGCCCAAAAAACTTACAACAACCCCGCCCCTATATTCCGTTTTTAACTCCAGTTATATTTGTTGTGAATCATTTGCTAAATGCTTTTTGGTAAATTTAGTTGATTCAATGGCTCTATTCTAGTTTGGATTAAGGTCTAAATATAATAGTGGTAGTGGGAATGGGAGGAGGACTAAAAAAGCTGAATTGTGCTTGATAATTGTGTTGGCATTATCAAGAAAATAGGTCTTCTGTCTCTTAAATTGTTGTGTATAAGAGGATTTTCAGCAGATACTGCTTTTCACACATGCAGCAGCTGCTGAAATTCCCTCTTCCAGACAACAATTACAAGGATAGGAGCTGTGTTCCTTATTTCACCTGGCAGCACAAAATTATTTCCAGTTTCAAGTTATGGAAAATGCATTAGTTTCTGTATGTTTTAGTTTTAGTATATTTAACTCTGTATTTTCATTGTCATCATAATAAAATAATGTTATTTCCTTGTGAGACTTTTGTCAAAATGAGTTCACGGTTTACACACTGCCTTAGGCAGAGATTATCTCTTAGAAAGCACCCTATATCCTAAACTCTCCTCAAGGGAATCCAGAATGGTATCAGCTCTACTATGTACACAGTTGCTCCAGGCTTTCAAGATTGTCCTTTTTGTTAAACCCCTATATCTTAGGCTGCCTATTTCTGAAGTATGAGGATATTTCTAATTTTAAAAAGTCATTTTGTCTACTGTGTAGACATGGACTCCAATACTGATTCTTTTTTGCTGCATTTGCAATAGTTTAAAGGTAGGGAAAAGTGAAGACTCAGATTTGATTGGGTTGGATTCATTTGTTTTGCAAGAGGGTGTCTTGCATGCCCTGCTTACTCACATATCCCTTTCAGCAGAAGTGACACCAGGACACTTGACAAGACAGCAGCCTAACTCGTTTTGGCTCAAGACACCTTCCCCATGTACAATTTTTGGCACATTGCACTAGATTTATGAGTTTTAAAAATATTTTTATTTGGTTATATGTAAGAAATTTGTAACGTCATCACAGTTTCATACATATAATGATATATTATTTTTTTTACCACATATGACACATTCTGTTTATTACATTTCTTTACAATTATATGCATCTATTATTTATACCTATCCATTCCCCCCCCCTCTCTTCTCCCCCCCCCCTGCCAGGAACAGTTATTACTCTACTCAATAGTTTATATTAATTGTTTGAGCATGAAGATTTTTTGGTTCAGCTGCTTATATTTTTCTTTCTCCTTCACTCTGGCTATAAGCTCAGTTTTCCTTTGGATGATCATTCATATATTTTTTGTCCTTTCAATTATGCAGTCTTGGAGCTGATAAATACTCTGTTAAATATTTGAGCCATTTTTAAAATTTCCATTTCCTTTCATCTTTCTATCCTAAGGCAACTGTTGCTTGGGTAGCTCCTATCATATATTTTGCAATTTCAGTCTGGTCTTTATTCCTCCCATTGATTCCAATATATTGGGTAAAGAATTGTTTTATGTTTAGTTTTATTCTTCTCCCTAGTAATTCTTCCATCTCATCCTTAATCTTTTTATCGAAATTTTGTAACTTTTCAGAGTCCCACCACATATGGATAAACCCTCCAATTCCCTGGCATTTATGCCAGTGACATTTTGATTTTTTTTTGGTAATGTGTAGAATTTGATATCATTTTGTCAATATTGTACATTGTGTTTCCTTAATCCTTAAATGTTTAATTTCCCTAATTGCTCTTATCCAATTTTCAATCTCATTCTCCTTACAGTTTAATTTGTCTTTCTATACCTAAATTTATGAGTTCACAGGTGCGATTACTTAATTTGAGTGTTTACTTGAAGGGGGAAATCCCCAATTCTGCATTCCAGTGTGTATGAGAGAGGCACCAAAGAAGAAAGCTGAAAATAGATACAAGAGAAGTTCTGCTTAAGAAAGCAAAAGAGAAAGAAGCAATAAATGCTCATTTATAAAACTACTTGTGAGTTCCCCCATATTCCTTATGGCAGTGGTTCCCAATCTTTTTTGGCCATGTCCCACCTAAGCATCTGTAAAATCCTGATGCCACTCTCCCCTCCTGTGATATCTAATTCTTACTATTAAAAAAAGCGAACTGCTATTTATGTGGACGAAGCCTTTTTTGTCAGTAACTCAATGGCACGTTTGATATTTTTTTGTTGTAAAGGGACACAGGCAGTGAAGCAAGATCCAAAATTTCAGCTTGTGGGTTTTCTAACATTATGATTGACATCATTCATTGATGGTTAATGATTTCTCAATGCACATTCTTTCTATGATCATTATCTATTTAAAAGTAGTCAACAAGATATCATGAAAATTTTGTGGGAATAGGAAATGTGACATTTCTATGCTCAAACCTGACAAATACCGGGTTTTGCTAATGAAAACACTTTGCACTTGATAAAGTTAAGTAACGAAATTCAAGGCACAATTCTGCATTGAATTCAGAGTAATTTAAGTGTTCAACTTCATTGCATGTATTTGGTGAGAATACATGAGAATATCCTGTCACCTGACAATTTTCTTGCGGCTGATAATATTTTTTATGACTGTTATCACACAAAAATATTGACGTACCTATGAAAGGAAAAATTGTGCTTTGGATTTTTTCACAGATTTATTGCTACATTCAGAACAAGGGTGTGTGTGTGTGTGTGTATATATATATATATAGTATAGCTTGTAATGTTAAAAGAACATTGAGAGGAGTAGGGTATTTGGCATGAAAATGGCCTCACTTTTCTGCACTCATGCACTCTCTAGTTAACTCTGCGCTCTCACCATTCCTCTCTATGAGTGGGCTTTCCCCCTCTCCATTGTCACCAGCTGGCTGCTGTGTACATTCTGAGTTTAATTTTAATAACATGTATGTCACAATATATATTTATATACTGTATATGAGGCCCCTAGAACCATGAGCAAGTTGCAGCAACAAAACAATAAAGCATTGGAAATTGTGCAAGCTGCTACTATAATAGCTGAGTTGGAAATCTGCAAACAGCCCTGGGGATGACTCATGAAAACTGGAGACTCAGGGGAAGGACCTGAGATCAGGCAACCCAAGACTGATGCTGGTTATTACCTCACATTAATTTGTGTCTTTACAATGGTTGATATCAGGCTAGCAATTGCATTAAATGAATCTATGTGCCAGAGAACTTTATTGTGTCTTTATTAATATCCCCAGGTGTCTGCTTTCAGTGTTTTGCTCTTGAATATTTGCAGGCGGATACTTGTTCCAGGATGAAAATTTCGAATTTCCCATTGAAATGCAAATATCTTTGCTGACTGTGTTTGTTTTGGGTACATATTAATGCAGTGCATAGCTAGAATTTTGCAAGCTTGGCAAGCAGTGATTACTAGTTCTGGCATAAAAATTAATCCCACTTGAAAAGTCAAAAGCAAAAGGCAAGAGCCTAACTAGAGCTTTGCCAGTAATTTTCTTCCTCCTTTATCTGTCATTATCAAAGAATCTAGTCATGAAACTACTTACTTATGTTTAAACTCTATTACAATAGTCTTCCAGCTATTGTTGGGTTGCTACTTCCATCAACCATTGTCAACACTGGCAATGGGAATGACAGTAAGTGTTGATGGATATTCCTCATCCTTGACCCACCAGTTTCAAGAAAACTATTTCACTTGTTTCTAATGTGTAGTGGAATAGCCCCACTGGATTCTTGTCTGAAATGGGATAAATTTGGGTTTTCCTGGGTAGTTTTATTTGCATCCTTTGACAATGGCCATTACATAATTATAACCATTTTATCCATATCTGTGTTTCTATTGAAAGTGTATTATATTTTGTACACATGCTACCAAACAGCACTGAAGACTGCAATTTGAAGCACTTACGGTGCAACCCTGCATGGTTCAATATAACGTAGTACTTCTGCAAATGGAACTACATTACATTGAGCCATTTGGCACCCTTTGGACCTACTTGAGAGCTACTGAAGCTTCCCCAACCATGGCCATTCATACTTGGAGAAAATGGCAGAAATGTCTGTAGCCAGATATGAAGCAATTATATCATCTGTTGAAGCCACTATGCTCTAGAGCAGTGGTTCTCAACTTGTGGGTCCCCAGGTGTTTTGGCCTACAACTTCCAAAAATCCCAGCCAGTTTACCAGCTGTTAGGATTTCTGGGAGTTGAAGGCCAAAATATCTGGGGACCCACAGGTTGAGAACCACTGCTCCAGAAAACTCAGCAGGTGATACAATTGATTCACACCTGGCTACAGGGACATAGCCAGGCATTACTGTGATCCTCCCCTGCACAATCTCTGCGGAAATGAATGCCCATGGAGTAGGGGCCTTCAAAGGTTCTGTAGTAGCTGTGTGTGGGGGTTTGATTGCTGTGATGAGAGGAGGGAAATACCAATTTTAATACCAGGTAAAAATAGATGTACACAGGCATAGAGTTAATTTGTCACTTACATATGGCACTAAAAGGATGCCAGTGTTACTAGGCAATATGTTGCATTTTGTCCCTGGAGATTTACTTCTAGATAGATTAGAATTTGTGAGGAACAGCATTCATTATAACAAGCAGTAGTTTCTTGTACATGGCTAGTGCTTGTAGTCAATTTCACCTTGTTACTCGGAGTCTTTTTCTTCCATTCCTAGCAGTGTCACCCTGGAGAGATTGTGATGTGTGATAATGAATTTCTTCCACACTTGGCTCACCCTACTTTACTTTCTTATGATTTTATAAACCAAGGTTGAACATTCCTTCAAACAGAGGCATTCATAAATAACTGGCTGTTTTCGATAAAGTAGGACACATAGTCACCCCAGGACAGCATCGCAGTCTCAATCCAGGTGTAACAGACTTAAACGATTTTTTAAAAAAGCTTAAGAGTAATATACCTATATAAATATACATCTACAAACATATGCTGTTTTTAAGCAGATGTGAGAAGTGTGCTGGAATCTGACCTAAGTTCAAAGAAAAAGTCTAAGCCAAATTATTCTTATGTAGAGTTTTGTAAATCGATAAATTGTTCCTTGTTTATCATAAGAGCTTGTTAATTTTCAGCGATTATCACAATTTTGCATTCTTTAGAATACCATTCAAAATACCAGACAAAAATCAATAATGAGACTTCTAGGGCAGGCGGGTGAGTGGGGGAGTGAAAATTCAGAACATAAAGGTTTGCATTAAAGTGTTCTGAATTTGGATAATAAAATGTTAATTCGTTCAGAAATCTAAACCTAATTACTTATGAACACGAAGCGTTTATTGCTGTCAGCTTTAATCACTTTTCAGCTTCCAGCTGTTAAAGACCTTCTGGCAAATCTCCAAGCAATTCCTCTGCAGCAGTTCTTCAAGAATTAAATATTTGTCTTGTTCCCAAGCTGGCTTTTGAAGAATCAGCATATTTGTATCAAATATCTGAATATATATTAAATCCTAAACAACAGTGTTGTATGATGTTGGAGAGTTAGTCCAGGTTTAAGTAGGATGACAGCAAAAGGTAGGAGCTGCCATTCTGTATTGCAATTCTGGATTTGTATCATGGTTATAGATCCGAGGCTGCTCCCTAGTCAGTATGATTGCTGTCAGGCTACATGAATGGCTTTTGGAGCCCATCTTAGCAGACATATCTGGCAAAGGAGGTTTGAGAAGGATGACATTTCCATTCCCTCCTGCCATTATGTGAGGATGTGACAATCAGAAGCAGGACCCGTTCAAAATTCCTTATTGTAACCTCATTCATTGGCGGGTGAGGATTTGAAGCATCCTCCTTCTCCTGCTTTGATCAGCAGCTGAACAAACATACCTCCTTCTCCTGATGTAGAGGTGCATCTACACTGTAAAATGAATGCAGTTTGACACCATTTTAATTTCCATGGCTCTATGATATTAAATCCTGGGATGTGGGGTTTGTCAAAGCACTAGCACTCTTTGGTAG